CATTTTAATTCCAGAATCTTCAGGTATTTGCTCTCCTTTTGACTCACTATTGCTCATCATAATTATACATAAAGTTCAAATGGAAGGATGAATGTTAACTGAACAGAAGGTGATTTCCTTTGCATGCACAGTATCTGAGTGAGCTTTGGGAATTTGAGCAATCTTGGACCTAAAGTTCCAACCAGTAACCTTACTAAGCCATGATTACTCATTACTCATTTCTTTCTCTCTCTCTCTCTTTTTCATTGAGGTAGCATTGCTTTACATCATTGCTTGTGTATTAGACATATAGGACCTCCCTTCTTAGGTGTTGTTACCACAACACACCCGCCATCACACCAAGACATCCATAGTTCACCGCCATCATCCATTGCACGCCTTCCCCATGTTCCCCTGGCCTTTCCCCTCCCAATATGGATGTGTCAGTTGTATAGTCAGCTTTCTGGGGTTAGCTCTTAGTTTGGCTTTACCTGATCCCTTGTTGGATTTCTCTATATGCCATATATATGTGACACTGTCCAGTATTTGTCTTTCTCTTTCCTACTTATTTCATTTAGCATTACCCTCTCCAGCTTCATTGATCAGTTTCTATAGGAAAGAAGTTTGTCTCAATGACAATCTCTTTTGCTTCATGAGATCTCAATGGAGCTGTCTCTGAAGTCAGACCTGAATTCTAGTCTCGTCCTGCTCTTAATTAGCATCTTAACCTTGAGTAAATTGCTGAACCTCTTTAAATCTCAGTTTGTTCCTCTATAAAATGAGTTTGAGGGTAACAACACTATCTCATGGGGTTCCTGTGAATGCCACATGACAAAGTCATGTTCACTAGAAGGCACAGAGTAAGACCTAACTAGGTGTTGGCTAATTTTATGAATTTTTTTAGATTTATTTTATTTATTTATGCATACAAGAACTGGGGTATAGGCTAGAGATGCAGGGAAGGTGGTGAGAGGATGCACCAGAGACAGAGTGAGGAGCAGAACAGGTGGATCTACTGAGACACACTGCTGAGGGGTGCGGCAGGCGAGACAGGAGAGGTCTGCTGCACCATGTGGGTAGCTCTCTGGCCGGGGATCCTCATGCCGAAGTGAAAAGTGGCTGGTGATAGCTTGATAGTGCTGAGACTTTAACCCCTGCACCACCAGATAGGCCCTAGTGCTATGATATTTTTGTCAGCTGGGGCAGGAAGTACAACTCCTATCAATCTGTTGGCCTGTGTCATTTTTCTTTTATTGATTTGACCCTCCTTTCTATCGAATTTATTGCTTTTAACAAAGTAGAAGAAATTGGATTTTGAGATCCTCTGGGCTACATGGAACATTTGATAAAAAAATATTTGCTAAATAAAGCAATTTAACTCCCTGAATGTATTATTTTAAAAATGTAAACCAGGGGCCTCCCCGGCGGTGCAGCAGGTTGACCATCACACTGTGAAGCTGTCTGCAGCCTCTGCAGTGTGGGTTCGATTCCTGGCCAGCCAGGGAGAAACCCACGTGGTGTGGCAGACCTCTCCTGCCTCGCCAGCTGCTCCCCTCAGCAGTGTATTCTGTCAGTCTGCCTGTTCTGTTCCCCGCTCTCTCTGGTGAATTCTCTCACCTTCCCGCACCTCTGACCTGTACCCCAGTGCTTGTATAAATAAATAAATCTATAAAAAAAAGAGTTCTCATTGTTGTTGTTGTTGTTTTTTTTTTTTTTTAAAGTAAACCAGGATCCAGCCAGTTCATAATTACTGTCAGCACTGGCATCTCCTGAGGTGGGCAGCAAGGATATTCCAAGTCTTAGGTATATATTACTGAAGAAATAATTCTATTAATGGAATACTTTCTGAATTTGAAACTGTGGCCACACCACCCAGAAAATAAAGTGATGGGCTCAGGCAGTTGACCTTAGCTGATGCAAAGCACTATGGGAAAGAGCAAGGGTCCCTAAGTGAAGCATTAGCATCATTTGTGAGCTCTAGAAATGGGAGCCCATCCCTAAATCTAGAGTACTGGAGGGATGGAGTTGGCATACTTTTTTTGTAAAGGGCAAGATAAAATATTTAGGTTTTATAGGTCATTGGGCTCTCAAAATTGTGGTCTGAGGCAAACTTACATAATATGTAAACAAGTGAAGGTGGCAATATTCTAGTGAAAATTTACTGACAAAACCAGGTGGCCCTAGCTTGCTCATTAAAAATATGCTGAATCAATATTCAGAATTTTATTTCGTAACCGACTTTTAGGTAAGTCACTTTGTCTCTACGTATCTTTCAGTTCTTTTTCTTTCTGGTTAGCCATTCTCTGAAATAAGAAATGTGACCATCTTGAGGAGTTTGGAGAAAAGGATGAGAGACTATGAGCCTGGGACCCAAGCTAAAGGGCCAGACATCTAGGAGGAGCAGCTGTACTTAGAAGATAGGGACTTGGAGGTGGGGGGTAGGCGGGTGCTTGGAGGGGACTAGAGAAATCGAACACACTCTGTTCCTGCCCACTATTACCAGAGACAATTTGGGCCCATTGTTTCAGATCTTCCAATTTTTCAAAAGAAGCTGAAACCTGATAAAATCAGATTTTTACATATTGGCCAACTTGCTTTAAAAACACAATGTGACCCTACAAAATCAGCCATACAAGGCTGAAATGTAGCTTGGGAGGTTGGTTGGTTGTGACCTTTGCTTTAAGTCCTTAGGTCTTTGTCACTGAAATACCGCTGGTTACCTTGAAATGAGATTGGGGGTTTTTCCAAAGCCAGTCTTAATATTTCAAGGGCTGATCAGATTTATATCTACTTCTTTGAAGTTGCTCCTCTATTTCAAAATTTTCTACCCCAAGGTGGTGCCACAAAGCGTTACCTAACCATATGTACTAGGTATGCCAAATATGAAATTCTATACATAGAATTTCATGAATTCTATACATAGAATTTCTATACATGAAAATCTATGTATAGAATTTCATTAGAATTTGAAGAGCCGAAATGAAAATGCCAGGCTTGGCAGCTTTTTCATTACAACGAAGATTTATGGACAACCAACCTAAAAAATTCAGAGCAATCAGTCCACATCAGGTTTGAAATTTTCCAGCTCTTCTGGAATATGCTAAATCCTCCCTTATCTCATCCCTATTCTTTGTGTTGGCAGATTTAGTTCTATGATTCAATAGAAAGCATTCTCTTTGCCTAATATTAAAAACTCATTTTGTTCTAACTCTAATAATTTGAGACTTTTTTTTCTGAGTTGGATATAAACAGAAATTACCTTTTCATCACTTGAAAGTTTAATTCCCTAGTTTTAATGAACTTCTTAAAAATAATTGGATAGATTAAATAAAACCTGTATTGTTTTTATTTGACAATCTCAAACTGCTGTATTGTGGAAATATTTGGGGCGCGAATTGTAATTTTAATGTCCCGTGGGCATTAATTTATTTGGGATTCATCTGTACCACAAGTCATCTGAAAATTCTTTTGTGGAACAAGACTCACAGGCTAGAAGTCTTTGAAGGCTTTTAAACCCAACCTCTTTTTTCTTTTTAGCAGCAATTCTCCCAGAAATAGTCTATTGTGCCTGACAAAATGTATATCCAATCCTGGACTTGAAAAGGTTCTGCTCCTATTTGTAACTCAGTAGCCCGGAGGCCCAAATTGGTATTGAACTTTCTAAAAAAGCACTCTTGGTTCTTTAATAAGAACTTATTGGTAATTAGCACCCTAGCCTGGGCCTACAGTTTGGGTTGTCAAAATAAAAATAAAAATCAAGTGGCATCTGTTGATCTGGAAAAAAACAAAACCCGTTATACGCATTTAGCTCTGCATTTTAGAAATTCTTAAGTTAATCCTGTTTTAGCATTGTGGAGAAAGGTGCAAAGGAATGAAATGATCCCATGAAATCCTTGTGTTCCATAAGGTGTCTTGAAGTTTGATTGGATATTAACTAAAAGATCATTTTGTTTCTCTTTTATAGCAGGAGATGCAATGTGTTCATTTTATAACATCTCTGCTGTTTGGAATAAATCACCAAGGACAGATGCTCATCACATTTCGGTTCAATAAAATTCTTTGCAGAGTCTGAACAGATACATGGCTAGTTGCTTTAGGTCTGTGTCCAGGCCATTATTTGTTTGGAAAATCAAATTCACAGTACAAAATAGAGTTATACTAAGGACATTGAAATTAATATTTTGTTTGCTGTCTTATGTGTTTGTTGCTGTTTTGATTTTTTTTTTGCCAGGGATGTGCATTTAGGTCCTTTTATTTATACATATCATTGACCCCCTCTTCATTGTTTCTTCTAAGACAGCAGTTAATCTGATTCCCTGCTGTTAAATCTTCTAGTAATGCCATTTTAAAGGTTTTCAGCAGAAAAATTTGCCTTGTCCTTGAAGAAGTACAAAAAATCCCATGTTCAGTCTGTTTTTGTGCATGTGGCAACAAATGAGTTTTCAACAGGCAAAACCGAGATGCTTATTTAAAAGTGCTACAAAACTGTTGGTGAGTTTTGGATATCTTTCATGTGCTGTATGGCACTTCTCTTGAGTTTAGAAAAAAAAATCAGGAAGACATAATCTCCTGTCTTGCCAATATTCATTTATTTATTTTTTTTTAGAGGAGGAGAGATTTGAGCTTAAAAAGTTGTGAGTGTACATCTTCAGTTGATATTTCCTTGAAGGAGTTTCATATGGTTTTAAATTATTTATCCAAGAGGGTATGTAAAAAAAAAAAAAAAGAGTGGAGGCTTTCCATCATGTTGTGCAAGGTAAAAATGTGCATTTTACAAACACTCATACATGCATGTTCCTACAGTCGCAAGAGTATCCACAGAAAATATTAAGCACATGTGTGTGTGTGTGTGTGTGAGTGTGTGTGTGTGTGTGTGTGTGTGTGTGTGTGTAAGTGAAAGAGAGAGAGAAAGAGAAAGAGTAAAGTTGCTGCTGGAATGTTGAATAAATAAATCAACCCAAGGCTACAATGGTGTGGGGTGATAACCATTACTCAAAGGGCAAGAGAAAAAGCTTACTAACCTGTCTTGGTGGTTTGCCTTGAAAATGAATCCTCGAATCCAGGGTGGATGATGACCATTTGGTGGGGCTAATGCTCTGACACCCTCTGACGGGACCAGAAAGTGGAAGTCAGGCCCGGGGCTCACACCAGCGCCAGTGAAATTTGTTTGCTGTTTATTTATTAACATCCACGTCTGTGTTGGATTTACTTCCCAGCTTCCTCTCTTTCAAGAATGCGTTTTTCACCCTGGAATTAGAAGAATATTTTATTGGCAGATGCCGATGCTTTGAGGAAAGGACTCTGGCTCTTAGGCCATTTTAGGATTAGCTCTTCCCTCTCTAGCCTCCCCTCCCCCCGACTTATCTTCCCCCACCAACCTGGAATTAGGGTTCTGAACTACAGAGAGAAACCTTTCCCATGAGTGTGCAAATCCTGAAGTTTACAGTGACTAGATAATAAGTAATAAAAATTAGGCCCTTTCTTTATTTAAAGATCGCCTTCATGTTGAACTGGCTTTTTACTGCCATTAAATATTTGCTTTCTGGGAGCATTCGTATATATTTTCTTAGCTCTTAACTACCACATTTCTGCTCGGTTTTGTATCTGCTAGCCCCAGCATTTACAACCTACGAAAACCTCATAAATCTACTTCATTTTTCTAATAAGACATGAAAGTCCTTAATTGGCCTTAATGAAATGCACTTAAAGGGCAATAAACGTGTTTAAGCCCCTCTTTCAGGGTGAGCATCAGTACTCTCACTCTACTCTGTTTTAGCCTTTCTGGTAATTAATCATTTATTCATATGTGACGAATCAGTAACAAGATCAAGCAACTACGGCACAATTGCATGATAATAAGCTGCTCATATATGTGTCAAGATTTAGCAATCCTTTTTAAAGCCTAATTTAAAGTCATTTTACAACTAACCAGACTGCTTCTCCGAAGCATTTTTTCCCCCAGTATCTTTTCTACATATTTTCATTTGGATGCCATCTTTTTATTTTGTTTATAGAGCCCAGTCTGCCTTAAATCCACTTATGGCACCAGCGTGAATTTCAGCAATGCAAACATTTACCATTGTTTTTCAGTGACTCCGAGTTCTCTCTTTGATCCAGAGGAGGAGGTGGAGGAGAGGCAAAAGAAAAAGGCCTGCATTTATAAATAGCAGACCCAGAGCCCCTGCCATTTTTAGTACATATTTAAACCTTAAATCTGCAGTGATTGATGGAGATGTGTTAATCATTCGCCTGCACCTTGGCACTCTGAGAATTCCAGCCATTTCCCATACCAGAGATGCCAGTGGAGGGATTCCTTGCCCTGCAGAAGAAGTCTCTCTCTCCCCCCACCCTCCTTTTATTGAGATATAAGTGACAAGTCCCTCACCACAAGAGAAATTCATATTTCTAATCCCTGCTGACAGAATATCTGAATGCCTGTTGGTGTGTATATAAACTGGGGATTGGGTTTTCCTGCCTGGGTAGAGCAGTGGTTAGTCCAGATGAGGAAACACACCTAAGAAAAAGATTTGGACCTATATGGTTTTAGTCAACAGGGTTGCTTTGTTCTTATGGACAAATCTTCTTTTTAAAAAGAATTATTTTTTATGCATATTAGAGCTGGGGTGTAAGGCAGAGGTGGGGGGGTGCGTGTGTGAGAGGATTCACCAGAGGCAGAGTGGGGAGCAGAACAGGCTGATCGACTGAAATACACTACTGAGGGGAGCAGCGGGTGAGATAGGAGAGGTCTGCTGTGCCATGGCTGGGGATTGACCTCGTGCTGCAGTGGCTGCTGGTAGCTTCATAGTGCTGAGACTTAACCACTTGTACCATCAGTGAGGCCATATCTTGAGTCGATGATCAACCAGTTGGCATTGGCAGTGGTCTGGATAATCGGGGCTCCTTTGTTCAGGCCAAGGAAACCAAAGTAATTAAAGGAAGAGTTAAAGGTCCTTCTCTGGCATATATTAACATATGTAGATCACCTGGTGTTAATCATCCAGACATCTTTATATTTGCCTATAAAGTTAGGTGACAAGAACAGGTACTTTTTTAAGAGACTGACAGACTCAGTAGAGATGGCACCTGTCAGTAAAAATTTGCCATTTGAAATAGTTTGCTAGCTGAAGTTTTACTTTCTTCAGTTAAACATGATAGAATTAGAATGAAACAAATACATGAGTCTCTCCCTAAGGTGCACTTAAACCTCATGAATACACATATAAGATTAAAAAAAAAAAGTGAGTCTAAATTGGTGACAAAGCTGAGTAGCACAATTTTGAAAATATATGTCATTTTATTACTGTCCAGTACAAAAAGTAGTTACTTAGGTATAACCAGATAGGGGGAATTCTAGCCAGATTTACTCTTATGTCTGGAAAATGACCACATATCATAACAAATTATTTGTCTGTTGGTAGGGAATGTTCCTGAAGCATTTGAAAATTGTTCTCTTACATACCTTAAAAATCACTCTACAATTCAACTCTAGGTAGGCTCCTCTAATGAAATTTTATCGCTTATGTGTGTAGCTTATGAAACTTAGTGGACTTAAATCTATTATCTGTCAATTTTCTTTGACTTTGCAACACTTCTTTTTTTAAATTTTAGGTCCTAAAAAAGTAAATTTTGTTCTGACTTTCTTGCAATTGAATATTCCTGAATAGATGGCACAAAGTTAATAAGATTTAATCAAGGCACATTCATACCGAATGGCTCCCCCTGGAGTTGTGCAGTGCACATTTCATGCATCTGTACACTTTAGTTCTGGTTTTGCATGTTGTCTACATACACCTTGTCTTGATAAAGATACATCTCTGGTTTTGGTTGAAACATGATATTTCCCTCATCTTCAGATGACATGTCCTGCTTTACCCTGTACATCTAAAGGAGATCCTTGAATGTAGCAAAAATGTTTTCATGTGTTAAATTTTATATTTATTGTTCTAATATTTTCTGAAATTCCTCCTATGTACTACAGCCTATTTATCTAGCTCTAAATTACTCTCTGGGTCAAATGTGAACTGAATTTTCATTCTATTTTGCCCTTCACTTCATTTTGTAACAAAATCGTGTTATTTTCCTTCAATTTATGACAAAGTTCCTTAGGCCAAATAATTTTTACCAAAGGAAAAAAAAAAAAAAAACCACCAAAAAACGGTAAGTCTTCAGTTAAAAAACAAAGCCTTCTTACCCAAACTCCACTAATGAGCTGATTTAAATAATTTTAGGGAGGAAAAGACAACTTTTGAACTCTTTACTGGGCTTGATATTTTAAGATTTTATATGGAGTGCTATATAGCCTTAGTCCTCTGACTAATTTTGCAGAAATAATCACAACATGTAAAAATAATCACAATGTGTAAAAATAATTGCAATAAGGTGACAATTTAGCAGTAAAAGGAAAATTCCAGACCCAGTTTAATCAGTTAAAGTGTCTCTCTGGTTCTTCTGATTTGTTGTTCATTTATGCCGGGCAGCTGGACAATAGAATTTTGCACGGGCCACAAACAATGAAATAAAACAGCAAGATGTACTGTATTTTACTGAAACATACAATAAAGGGCAGCAGGGGACTAGTGAAAGCCCAATATTCAAAGACTGTAATTTTTTATCACTACTTTATTTCCTGAACCAAAATGTTTTTTGGATATAAATACTGGTCAAAAACAAAACTGCACCGTGTTTGCTATCATTGAGGCAATACCTAAACCTACTTTTTATTAGAATTAAATGAATATCATGCAAGTAGTTTTAATGTTTTATTATTATTTATGTTCTATGCTCTGCATAAATAGAATTGTTCCTTGCCCCCCCCCTTTTTTTTACTACTAATAAAAAGTAATAGGTGTAATAATTCTGAGACTGTTTGCATTTCAGGGTGTTTTCTGTTTGGTCCTGGTGGCTTATGAAAGGAAAAAAACCCCAGACCAGAGGGTAAAGAAGTTTAATAACAAATATAGGAAACTTCAATAGAATTAAACGTTTAGGCAAGAATGACCAAAACAAGGATGAATAATGAAGATTTAAAAAATGTTAAGTACAAAGTCAATGCAACGAATATTCTGTGAGCAGAGACATATCTGAACTTTTTTCCAACATTGTTCATGTATGTCTGGAAATTGCATCATATATATATTTATTAATAAATATCTTTCCTTAATTACTTGTTGATTTCTCAGAACACTTTGTGATAGGCAGGAAGGCAGTATTTAACCACAAGGCCATGTTTTCTAAAACAAGACTTTTAAAGATGTAGATGTGACAGGAGATATTTAAATGAAAGTCAGAAAATTGAAATCATTTCCTTGTGAAAGTAATAGGTTTGCAATATTCTCAATGAAATTCTGCAAGAATTTGCACTTGGAAATCCAGAAACCTGTTCTAGTGGTGACCATGTGCTCTCAGAGGGCAGATCTAGTGCTTTCTACTATTAATGCTTTTATACCTCAAAAGCTGCCACTGCCTTCAGCAGCCCAACCAGCTGCAGGTGGCTCTGGTGTCTTCTCTCCCAAGTAAAACAAAAGACCCTTTTTTTCCCCTTCTAGAAAATGTTTTTACAGTTTAGGCACACGACTGTACAGAGGAAGACTATACCACTATTCAAAGGGATGTCCCAGAAAGATTCTATAGTGAAATGGGAAAAATAGAGGACACAAAATTACAACTCCATTGAGATCTCGGAGGGAGAAAATGTTTTGCAAAAAGTCTAAAAATCAACGAAAATGTTAACAAAAAATTGCTTCTAGTGGCAGGGTTATGGGGGACTTTTGCATTTCTATGTATATTTCTCTAATTTTCAGATTTACTATAGCATGCATACACTATCTTTATAGACTTAAGTTAATGTAAACTCTAAGAAAATAAAAATTTATAAAAATCAGGCTTTAGGAGGGCCTCCCTGGTGGCGCATCGGTTGAGCGCTGGGTTGCAAAGCTGCCCGCAGCCTCGGCAGCGCCAGTTTGATCCCCGGCCGCCGGGCGAGGTCCCACATGGCGCGCAGACCTCTCCTGCCGCCCGCTGCTCCCCTCAGCAGTATACTTGGTCAGTCTGCCTGTTCTGTGTCCTGCTCTGGCTCTGGTGAATTCTCTCACCCTCCCGCGCTTCTGACTGTACCCAGTGCTTGTATAAATAAATAAATAAATAAATCTTTAAAAAAAAAAAAAAAAAGCAGGCTTTAGGAAACATTTTGAATGGATTATACTAGAGTAAGTTTTACAACCATGGTCAGCATGGTTTATGAGAAAGCT